ATGTTGGCCAGGCTGGTCTCAAACTCCTGACCTCAGGTGATCCACCCACCTCGGCCTCCCAAAATGCTGGGATTACAGGTGTGAGCCACCACGCCTGGCCCCACTTGACATTGTTTATCTTATTTGTTGCTGTCTCCCTCCCCTGCCTCATAAGCTCCCCTCAAGGGTAAGAGTTCTGTTTCGTTCACTGTTGTGTTCTCAGGGCCCAGTGCAGCATCTGGTATGTAATAGCTGCTCAATAAATTGTTGTCATTGCTTGCGGTTTGCTTTCCTACATCCCAGTCCCTGGCATACTGGCTCTTACATGTGAATGGGCGGACAGAGCCATAGGAAAGCAAAGAAGTGCAGGAGAGGGTGGAACAAACGAAGCAAGGGCTGGGTGTGGTGGCTCATGCCTGTAATCCCAGCAATCCTGGGAGGCGGAGGCAGGCAGACCACCTGAGGTCAGGAGTTGGAGACCAGCCTGGCCAACATGGCGAAACCCTGTCTCTACTAAGACTACAAAAAAATAGCTGGGTGTGGTGGTGCACACCTGTAATCCCAGCTACTCCGGAGGCTGAGGCAGGAGAATTGCTTGAACCCAGGAGGCGGATGTTGCAGTGAGCCAAGATCGCACCATTGCACTCCAGCTGGGGCAACAGAGCAAAACTGTCTCAAAAAAAAAAAAACAACAAAAAGCCAGGTGCGGTGGTTCACGCCTGTAATCCCAGCACTCTGGGAGGCCAAGGTGGGTCGATCATGAGGTCAGGAGTTCAAGACTAGCCTGGCCAAGATGGTGAAACCCTGTCTCTACTAAAAATACAAAAAGAAAAAAAAAAAAACAACAACGAAGCAAGGGACGTGGAGGAGGAGGTCGGGAAATATGGGAAATTATGAGTGTGGAGAGATGATAAGGAGCAAAGCAAAAGATAAGAGATTTCTGATTAAATAACACTGAACTTGGAGAAGGACAAGTTTGTGCCAAGGAGGAAGAAAAACAAAGCAGAGAGGGGAAACTCTCCAGAAAGTTCAGGAAGTCTAACCTGAAAAAGCAGTTGAAGGTTGGGCAGAAGCCTGGGGTTTGGCTGTAGCCACAAGTGGGGCCTCTGCATGTCTCCTGAGGCTGAGCCATCGCCTGTAGAGCAAGGGGGTGGTGGATGGCGGGCCTGGGAACAGGAGAAAGAGCCTAGGAGGGGAAAAAGGAGAGGAGGAGGCACAGAGCCAAGCAGAACGCTGAGTGAGTGCCACACAGCAGTCTAGGAAACGGGCCACTGGGTGGTGGAGGACGCTGTAGGTGAGGGGTCAGCAGAGCCTCAGCGGGCCAGGTGGAGGCGGCAGCAGAAGGGGCGGTGGGAGGTGGGAAGGTGGTCTCTGAGGGAGAAGAGCAGGGTGCGGGTGGGAGGCAAGACACACCTCACAGGGTCCATGCAGGAAAGTGTCACTTTTGTTCCCATGTATTTCGTTTAAGTTTTTGTGCTTTTATTTTTCGGGGGGGACAGAGTTTCCCTTGTTGCCCAGACTGGAGTGCAGTGGCACAATCTCGGCTCACCGAAATCTCTGCCTCCCGGGTTCAAGGGATTCTCCTGCCTCAGCCTCCCGAGTAGCTGGGATTACAGGCATGTGCCACCATGCCCAGCTAATTTTGTATTTTTAGTAGAGACAGGGTTTCTCCATGTTGGTCAGGCTGGTCTTGAACTCCCGACCTCAGGTGATCTGCCCACCTCAGCCTTCCAAAGTGTTGGGATTACAGGCGTGAGATACTGCGCCCGGCCGTTTTTGTGCTTTTATTATCCTAAAGTTTTCACATTCTTTCCCAAGGACTGTCATTCATATATACATACACACACACATATATATAATATAGAAAATCTGGAAAATTTTAATCATTTGGTCATGTTTAAAAGGATTACATTAGGGCCCAGTGTGGTGGCTCACACCCATAAACCCAGTGCTTTGGAAGGCTAACGGGGGAGGATTGCTTGAGGCCAGCAGTTCAAAACCAGCCTGGGCAACATATTAAGACCCTGTCCCTACAAAAAAAAATTAGCCAGGTGCAATAGTGCACACCTGTGGCCTCAGCTACTTGGGATGCTAAGGTGGGTGGACTGCTTGAGCCCAGGAGGTTGAGGCTGCAGTGAGCTATGATCATGCCACTTCACTCCAGCCTGGGTGACAAAGTGAGACCCTGTTAAAAAGAAAAAAAAAATAGGCCACGCGTGGTAGCTCATGCCTATAACCCCAACACTTTAGGAAACCGAGTCAGGAGGACTGCTTGAGTCTAGGAGTTTGAGACAAGTCTGGGCAACATAGCAAGACCTCATCTCTGCTAAAATTTTAAAAAGTAGCCAGGAGTGGTGGTGCAAACCTGTGATCCCAGCTACTCTGGGGGCTGAGGTGGAAGGATTCCTTGAACCCAGGAGGTCAAGGCTGCAGTGAGCCATGACTGCGCTACTCTATACCAGCTTGGGCAACAGAGCAAAACTCTGTCTTAAAATAAAGGCCAGTTGGCCGGGCGCGGTGGCTCAAGCCTGTAATCCCAGCACTTTGGGAGGCCGAGACGGGCGGATCACGAGGTCAGGAGATCAAGACCATCCTGGCTAACACGGTGAAACCCCGTCTCTACTAAAAGATACAAAAAACTAGCCGGGCAAGGTGGCGGGCGCCTGTAGTCCCAGCTACTCGGGAGGTTGAGGCAGGAGAATGGCGTAAAAACCCGGGAGGCGGAGCTTGCAGTGAGCTGAGATCTGGCCACTGCACTCCAGCCTGGGCGACAGAGCGAGACTCCATCTCAAAAAAAATAAAATAAAATAAAGGCCAGGCACGGTGGCTCATGCCTGTAATCCCAGCACTTTGGGAGGCCAAGGTGGGTAGATCACCTGAGGCCAGGAGTTCGAGATCAGCCTGGTCAACATGGAGAAACCCTGTCTCTACTAAAAATACTAACACTAGCTGGGCATGGTGGTGTGCACCTGTGCTTCCAGCTACTTGGGAGGCTGACGCTTGAGCCCAGGAGTTGGAGGTTGCAGTGAGCCGAGATTGTGCCACTGCACTCCCAGCCTGGGTGACACTGTCTCAAAAAAAAAAAAAAAAAAAAAGAAAAGAAAAATAAAAAGAAAAAAATAAATCAATAAAGTTAGGCATAATGGTGGCACATACCTGTAATTCCAGGTACTCAGGAGGCTGAGTGGGGAGGACTACTTGAGTCCAGAAGTTGAGAATAGCCTGGGCAATGCAGTGAGACCCCACCTCAAAAAAAAATCAATAAAGAACAGATGTTTTTAGTTGCCTGCCAAATAGTTCAAATTAAGAGGTGATCTATAACTAGAGATAAAGGTACTAGGATGCTTCATGAGACACTCGAGGGTTTTGGACTAGATAGTGTCTTAGACTAATCAAGGTGGTCAATCAGGATCTGTCCTCAGAACTGGAATGCAGTTAATGCAAACAAAGTTGTAAGTGAAATGGATTGTGTAACACATTCGACCTGCTGATCTGAAGTGGGTTGTGGAGTCCAGTTAAAGGAAGGCCAAGAAACAAGCATTTTTATTGTATATCCAGCTGGCCCAAAGGAGATTCTTCTTATATTTGAAAGCCACAATGCCCATTTTCTAGACATCCTCGATTTGGAGAATAGAAATTAATCCAGCTACACTAGCTGAATGGAAATATTCCTTAAACACACCTAGCTAGGTTTGTTCTAATTCTCTGCTCACTAAGCTCACTTGTGATTCTGTTCATAAGATGGCCTCTTTAAAGGGACGCCATCAAGGAAGTTCTGAACTCAGAACCGTGTCTGTGATCTGGGCAGAGAGAAATATCCTGTTGTTAACTAGCAAATGGCCATGTTTGTGTATAGATCCTTCAGCCACTCGAGCTTTTGGAAACGGCGTTTTGGTTCCTGTGGGTCTGGTCACCCCAGAGAGCGGGATAAAATCCTGTGATAAAATTCTGTACCTAGCCCCGCAAAGCCGAGGACTGATCAAGCAGCTCTGGGTTCGCCTCATCAAGGTGTTGACAACAGGGAGGTATAATCTGAAGCAGCCAGCCAGTATCTCCTTTCTGTTATCTCTTTTAGCTGCCATCAAAATGCAGTGGCCAAAATACATAAAGAAATAAAGCGGAGACCACAGTGCTATATCTGAAATTGTTTCAACAGCCCTGGCATCAGGCCACCAGCATGCATTCTTTCCAGCCTGCATTCAGTGTGAACCCATTGTCTAGGCATTCATCTTTCTGAAGGAGCAGAGGACAGAAGGCAGGATGTAAACTCTCTGGATGCTTGTGGTTCTTTTCTCCTGATAATAAGGGCAACTCTGCAAACAGCAGCAGAGGGAGTGAAGAAAAATGGCCTGGGAGGACAAACACAGGACTCACCCTTTTTCTCTGGAAAAGTCAACCAGCTTGATTGTCCTTTCTGGGCATCAGAGCCTCTTCAACTCCATAGTTTTCCATCTCGACACCAGAGGACCATATTTAGCCCTGTTGTTCTTTCCATCCAAGATCATTTTATTTCCTTTTGCATTATTTGATAACTATTCCCTTCCCCTCCCCACCTCCAACTGCATCTCCTACTCTGAAATGCTTCTTGAGCAGCCAAGGGTGGCCAGCTCTGCTCCTCATTTTCCTGAGGAAGAAGAATCTCAGCCTGGAAGAATATAGAGCTAGGTGACATATGGGTGGCCAGTCTCTTCTCCCCAAGTTCCAAGAGAGTGGACAATTAGTCAAATGCCATCAGTCATGTTAAAATATACTTCCACTAGGTAGACATCCTTCTCTCAAAGCTAGAGGACAGTGAAAAATGTGCAGATTGAGATTTGTAATTGTTTTCCCTTTTTTTTTTTTCCCGAGACGGAGTCTTGCTCTGTCACCCAGGCTGGAGTGCAGTGGTGCAATCTCAGCTCACTGCAACCTCCGCCTCCCGGGTTCACACCATTCTCCTGCCTCAGCCTCCCGAGTAGCTGGGACTACAGGCATCCACCACCACGCCTGGCTAATTTTTTTGTATTTTTAGTAGAGACAGGGTTTCATTGTGTTAGCCAGGATGGTCTTGATCTCCTGACTTCATGATCCACCTGCCTCAGCCTCCCAAAGTGCTGGGATTACAGGCGTGAGCCACCGCGTCCGGCTAATTGTTTTCTCTTAACTGCACACCCTTCAGGCTGAATGCGGGAGTGCCAAACAGATGCCTTAGGAAGGGACCCTGAAGACCCAAGTGACCAGCACCATAAAGCCACCCCAAGGGTCAGCCATGCTGCCAGCACTCAAGAGGCAGCAGGGACACCTGCCAGAAGACCTGGGCATGGCTCTGGGTGCCTGGCCCTGCCTGCCTCCTCCATGTCCTTGGAGCCAGGTCTATGGCAGGACCACAATCTTCTTCTCCAGCTTCTGTGCAGGGAACAGGAAGTTTTTCATGATGTCATCCAGCTCTTCTAGGGCCAACTGGGCATGGAGCTTGGCCACGTCATCGGGCTCCAGATGCACCACGTGCTTCAGCAGGTGGTAGAGATCCTTGAGGACGGCGCTCAGCACCTGCACAAGAGAGAGAGCCATGACCACCTGTCTACTGTGCCAGCATTTCTCAGTACGACTGAACTGCCCTCTCCTCCTGCCTGAGGAGATCTGTGAGGACATCCACAGACTTCCTGAAGATAATGTGGCTGGGTGCAGTGGCTCATGCCTGTAATCCGCACTTTGGGAGGCCAAGGCAGGCGGATCACTTGAGTCCAGGAGTTTGAAACCAGCCTGGGCAATGTGGCAAAACCCCATCTCTACAAAATATACAAAAATTAGCCGGGTTTGGTGGCACACGCCTGTAGTCCTGGCTATTCAGGAGGCTGGGGTTGGGAGGATCATCTGAGCCTGGGAGGTCAAGGCTGTAATGAGCCACGATTGTGCCACTACACTCCAGCCTGGGCGGGAAAAAAGAAAAAAAAAAAGAAGATAATGCATGGCCATCTTGGGTTGGAGAAGGAGGCAGGGGTGGCGCTGGCCCTTGTATTGAGATAGGTTTCCCATTGTGTTTATCACTCACCCCATGCCTAGTTACATGGCCTTGGGGCTTCTACTCCCCTTTACTCCCAGGCCCCCCTAGTTACATGGCCTTGGGGCTTCTACTCCCCTTTACTCTCAGGCCCAATCATAGTTCCCAGACTCCTTTATTCAGTCCCAAAGCATGGCAGAGACCTCAGGACCACAGACAGGCAAGACTGCCCGGATATGATTCCTCCCAGAGCAAATGATTACCAGCATTTTTTTCCTCCCCAGCTCCCCACAAAGCCCTTTGCCACCACCCACAGAATGGGCAACTATCTTATGAAACCCGGGAGGCTTTTTTTTTTTTTTTTTTGGAGACAGAGTCTCACTCTGTTGCCAGGCTGGAGTTCGGGGGCGTGATCTCAGCTCACTGCAACCTCCACCTCCCGGGTTCAAGCAATTCCCCTGCCTCAGCCTCCTGAGTAGCTGGGACTGCAGGTGCATGCCACCACACCCAGCTAAATTTTGTATTTTTAGTAGAGACGGGGTTTCACCATGTTGGCCAGGATGGTCTCAAACTCTTGACCTCATGATCTACCCGCCTCGGCCTCCCAAAGTATTGGTATTACAGTCATGAGCCACTGCGCCTGGCCTAGGAGGCTATTGATTCAGCAATCATGCCTTTCCTTGCCCCTACTTTAAAAATCTGTCACCAGGCCGATGCAGTGGCTCACACCTATAATCCCAGCACTTTGACAGGCCAAAATGGGCAGATTACTTGAGATCAGGAGTTAGTGACCAGCCTGGCCACCATGGTGAAACCCCATCTCTACCCAAAATACAAAAATTTGCCATTTGTAGTCCCAGCACTTTGGGAGGCCGAGGTGGGTGGATCATAAGGTCAGGAGTTTAAGACCAGCCTGGCAAACACAGTGAAACCCTGTTGCTGCTAAAAATACAAAAAATTAGCTGGGCATGGTGGCAGGTGCCTGTAATCCCAGCTACTCGGGAGGATGAGGCAGGAGAATCACTTGAACCCAGGAGGCGGAGGTTGCAGTGAGCTGAGATCAAGCCACTGCACTCCAGCCTGTGCAACAGAGTGAGTGAGACTCTGTCTCAAAAAAAAAAAAAGTCTGGGCGCGGTGGCTCAAGCCTGTAATCCCAGCACTTTGGGAGGCTGAGACGGGCGGATCATGAGGTCAGGAGATCGAGACCATCCTGGCTAACACGGTGAAACCCCGTCTCTACTAAAAAGTACAAAAAACTAGCCGGGCGAGGTGGCGGGCGCCTGTAGTCCCAGCTACTCCGGAGGCTGAGGCAGGAGAATGGCGTAAACCCGGGAGGAGGAGCTTGCGGTGAGCAGAGATCCGGCCACTGCACTCCAGCCTGGGTGACAGAGCCAGACTCCGTCTCAAAAAAAAAAAAAAAAAAAAAAGTCTGCTACTACAGTTTCCATTTTTCATGAGCAATGCTCCGATTTTATGGTCTGATACGGAATTAGGAGGGTGTCAAAAGTACCTATTCACAGGAGCTCCTACTTCCCCCAAAAATCCTCCCGACTTGGGAGCTAGAACTTCTAGCAAGAAACAGGTTTGAAAGGAACAGGGAAACAAAAATAAGGGGACTGAGGCTGGGTGCGGTGGCTCAGGCCTATAATCCCAGCACTTGGGAGGCCAAGGTGGGTGGATCATTTGAGGTCAGGAGTTTGAGACAGCCTGGCCAACAAGGTGGAACCCCGTCTCTACTAAAAATTAGCAGGTGTGGTGGCGTGCACCTGTAATCCCAGCTACTGGGGAGGCGGAGGTTACAGTGAGCCGAGATCATGCCTGGGCAACAAAGTGAGACTTCACCTCAAAAAACCAAAACCCAAAACAAAACAGTAAGGAGATTTAGGGACCAACTGGTCCAACTAGGGACAGGAGGCAATTGGGCCACAGGGGGTCATGAGACTTATCTGCAGCTACTTGTAAAGTTACTTCTGGTCCAGGGCGTTTTGCCTCAAATACTACTACTTTTTGGGTCAGAGACTATTTTAGGTACTTTCTATATATGATCTAATTTTTCTGCCAGTCCTATAGACGAAAGTTATTAGCCCTATCTTATATTTGCAGAAACTGAGGGTTAGAGGGTTAAAGTTACTCAGCTAAAAAAATGATGGAGCCAGGTTTCCAACATTCAGAGCCTGTGTCCTTATTTTAAATTTTTATTGAAAAGATAATACAGTACAAAAGAGCACATATTAAAAAGTAAGGCTCTCTTCTACTCCAGACTCCTAGCTGCTTCCCTTCTCAGAGGACATCACTCATATAAAGACATATTCTCAGTGTTTACAAGCACACGTGTATACTTCTGTTTCTTGTCTCCTCCCTGCAAGATTTTTGAGACAGAGTCTCGCTCTGTTGCCCAGGCTAAAGTACAGTAGTACAATCATAGCTCACTGCAGGCTCAAACTCCTGGGCTCCAGCAATCCTCCATCTCTGCCTCCCAAGTAGCTGGGACTACAGGCATATGTCACAATGCTTGGCATTTTAGTGTTTTGCTATTTTGCCCAGGCTGGTCTTGAAATTCTGGGCTCAAGCAATCCTCCCACCTCAGAGGTTGGGATTACAGGCATGAGCCACCAAGCCCAGCCTTTCCTTGCCTTTTTAAAGTACAAAATTATATTCTATGCTTTGTTGTATACCATGATTTTCCCCCCCACTTAACATATTTTGTAGCCGGGCACGGTGGTTCATGCCTGTAATTTCAGCACTTTGGGAGGCCGAGGCAGGTGGATCATGAGGTCAGGAGTTTGAGACCAGCCTGGCCAACATGGTGAAACCCTGTCTCTACTAAAAATACAAAAATTAGCTGAGCATGGAGGCGCGTGCCTGTAATCCCAGCTACTTGGGAGGCTGAGGCAGGAGAATTGCTTGAACCCGGGAGGCGGAGGTTGCAGTGAGCCGAGATTGTGCCATTGCACTTCAATGTGGGCAACAGGGCATGACTTCATCTCAAAAAAAAAAAAAAAAAATTTTGTATAATTGGCACATATGGAAATAACTTATTTTTTATAGTTGCAGAGGATGAATGTAATGCAATTCATTTACTCATCTTTCCAATGAAAGTAATTTAAATTCTTTTTTATCTTTTGCTATTGCAAATATTGCTGCAATAAACAGTTTTGTTTTTGTTTTTTTTTCCTGAGATGGAGTCTGGCTCTGTTGCCCAGGCTGGAGTGCAGTGGCCAGATCTCAGCTCACTGCAAGCTCCGCCTCCCGGGTTTACACCATTCTCCTGCCTCAGCCTCCTGAGTAGCTGGGACTACAGGCGCCCGCCACCTTGCCCGGCTAGTTTTTTTGTATTTTTTAGTAGAGGCGGGGTTTCACCATGTTAGCCAGGATGGTCTCGATCTCCTGACCTCGTGATCCGCCCGTCTCGGCCTCCCAAAGTGCTGGGATTACAGGCTTGAGCCACCGCGCCCGGCCATAAACAGTTTTTTGAAGATGGGGTCCTGCTATATTGCGTAGGCTGATCTTGAACTCCTGGCCTCAAGTAATTCTCCCACCTCAGCCTCCTGAGTAGTCAAGATTAGAGGCATAAGCCACTGTGCCCAGTGCAATACGCATTCTGATACTTAAGTCATTACAGACATGTATAAGTATATCTGTAGGACAAATATCTAGAAATGGAATTTCTGGCTCAAAAGGTAATGCGCATTACAATTTTGATAGATATGGCCAGAGAGGTCCAATAATTTATATTTTTCTTAAACACTATGAAAATTCCTGTTTCACTGGCCAGGCGCGGTGGCTCAAGCCTGTAATCCCAGCACTTTGGGAGGCCGAGACGGGCGGATCATGAGGTCAGGAGATCGAGACCATCCTGGCTAACACGGTGAAACCCCATCTCTACTAAAAATACAAAAAAAAAAAACTAGCCGGGCGAGGTGGCGGGCGCCTGTAGGCCCAGCTACTCCGGAGGCTGAGGCAGGAGAATGGCGAGAACCCGGGAGGCGGAGCTTGCAGTGAGCTGAGATCCGGCCACTGCACTCCAGTCCGGGCTACAGAGCAAGCCTCCGTCTCAAAAAAAAAAAAAAAAAAAAAAGAAAATTCCTGTTTCACCGTATTCTTATCAGTGCCACGTACTATAAACTCCTCATTTTTGCTAATCCAGTAGAAAAAAATAGCATTTTGCTATTATGAATTTGCATACTTCTAACAAATATATAAACATAAATTTGTATTTTTTTCTGGTATGTATAATTCAGCTTCTCCTTAATGATTTGTAAAAACTCCTTTTTTTTTTTTTTTAAAGTCCATTATCTGTCATATGAGTTGCAAATATTTTTCTCCCAGTCGGCATTTTTTCTTTGTGAAATTTTTTATTCTAGTGAAGAAATTTCCATTTTTGATGTAGTTAAATTTATCAAATGTTTTCCTTTGTGGTTTCTGGATTTTGTATTTTGCTTAAAAGAAATAGGGCCTACAATCTTAGCCATTATACTATGCAATGTTTCTTTATTTTATTTTATTTTATTTTATTTTATTTATTTATTTTTGAGACAGTTTCGCTCT